ACACACACACACACACACACACACACACACACACACACACACACACGGGATCATAAGATCGATAGAAAAGCCCAATGAGACCATGAAGTCAATATCTTGTCCCTGTTATCCCATCGGGTGGGCCGTAATAAGGCCGGAGAGAAGACTGAGAGCTGCTATCCCGGGCAGGGTTGGCCACCAAAACCAAAATCTTTACAATATTATAGCGAGCGTCAAGTGTAGATGAAGTATCATGAAACCAAGTAATAACACACTATCACACCAACGCATGCAGCAGGAATAATCCTGCGATGAGGGGACGCTGGTGAAGAACGGGAGAAAGTTTAGTTTGGTCTGCGACTGATCTGATTTTACAGTATTCATCTAGTTTCTCTCATTTAGGTTTTTCTACCCGTTTATGGTATTTAAAAAAATGTTGGTCTCCAGATCTTCATCCAGCTATAATTATATAGGCAAACAGCATCGGCACCATTTATACAGTGTGTAAACATAAGCCAGGAAAATCACCAATTAGAGGTTTTCCAGCAGAACCTCGGCCACGTGCAGAAGGTTCACTCATCGGTCAAAAGTCCATTTAAGATATTTCTGAAGTGCAAAATCTTTGTAAAACAAACCCATGAAATCACGAGTTACCACAAAAGAATGAGCAATGAGTACCTCAGTATTTCAGTAAGGGCTGAACCAATTAGTAGGTTCATGATCAGTCAGTATAAAGAACAATATTTACAATCTATAACTGATCATTTAGACATTTGTTTACTAAAAAACAGACCAAGAATGATCCGGTTGTTCCATGTCAATCATGAATATTTGTAATTCTTTTAACCTTTTATGACGATAAAGGGAAGACGTTTAGCTTTTGGACTGTCGGTCGCAGACGGCACTTTGTTCTTGGGAAATTAAAAGGGTAATTTTTCTCTCAAATTACTTGAGAGCATAATCTTTATGATTAATCTAGTGATGCAGTCTGCCGATTAAGATTTGTGCCAATTCAGATGTTTTTTTTTCGAAGAACTATAATTGAGAAAAGGCTCCAGACTGATTTTCTTCACGACCATCCCGACAAAGAACTTCAACCGTCCAGAAGTCAGCTTTATTTGTTATCATCATCTATAGTGGTAAAACACACAGTTGATTAGTAAAAGATTAACTGTATATTTTATCTAAATAAAAAATAATTGCTTTGATTAAAAACAATATCTTTGCATTAGTAGTTTTAATGAAGAATTATCCCATTTTATATTTCTGTAAGTATTACCTTCAAACTACTTCATTAAACTATTTTTCCAAGCTTATCGCCAAGAAATACATTTTACAAGATGACATTTGAACACATCGTAATCTAGCCAACAGTAATCTCTGTCAACATTAGCAGACGAGCTGGTCACTGTGCTCACTCTGAGCATGTGCATGGGAATGAATTCTTTGAATTGCTCCAAATGTCTTTCAGGTTGTTCTGCATTTGTGTTTTGGATGTGACGTTACGGTTTGTGCCGCTGTGTGCTGTCGTTAACCTCTCACGCGGTAAATGTGCCGGGGCGAAAACGTAAACATGAGACTGATCACTGGTCACTGCCAATCAGCTGAGAACCGGCCGGTGCTTTCTCTCGATTAATCGATAACGAGCAGCAACATCGCGATTTGCAACACCGATATAAAAGAGAAAAGCAGCGAAATCCTCACATTTGAAAAGCTGGAACAAATAATGTCAGAAATAACTGACAAATAGATCGTCAACTAGTCGAGTAATTGTTTCAGCTTTAAATTCTTAAAAACTAAAGTAACGGAACAATCGTCATAGTTCTCAATGAAAGTGTTTTACTACAAGCAAACAAATTAAAAACAGTGACATGCCTGCTAGATCACACACATAGTGTACACACACACACACACACACACACACACACACACACACACACACACA